AGGGAAAGAAAGAAATTATACCTTAGGGCTTTCTTTCTCATGTCGCTTTACATTTCTCCCTAGATAATGTGTTGTAAAGACCACAGGTACTGTGGAAATCTTTTGCTTTTAGGAATATTGAATTTTTGCTAATGTCTTTCTTTTAAATAAATTTTAAAATTTGAAATCCATGATAGAGTTTGTAGTTCATTCAAAGTACTACTTTGCAATTTTGATTTTCCCTAAAGATGCAAGAGTTTATTTTCTGTCAACAGTGGTTGTGTTATGCTTGCTAATACCGTGCATGATAATGGGGAAATAAATGTCAACTATTTGCGCTACACTAGAGGTCACTTTGTGAAGTTCGTGTTTATATTCAATACAGTGAAACTGGTCTAGGGAGTCTTTTGTTGCTGGACTATAGATAACTTTTACAGTATGACTTCAAGTATTCCATAACACCGACTCTTTTATAATATTATCATTGTACAGTGCAAGAGAGTCTCTAAAAGGGAAATTATGGCTGTAATTTTGTGTCAGTTTATGAATGATTTCAGCCAAATTTTTCCAGATTAGTGTAATGTGTAGCAGACAAAAAGTCTGAGTTTTCCTTTTTTGTGTGTTTGGCAAGTATCAGTGAACCTAGTAATAAAACCGATTTTTCATCAAAGTCCAAATATTTAGACTACCAAAAGGAAATTCAAATTTTTTAAATCATTTTTTTTCATGAAGCGTATTTGTTCTTATAGAGGATGACCTTCTAAAATTAATAGTTTTCGTCCTTTAGATGTTCTCATATAACTAGAAAAGAGTGCTTGATAATTTCTCAAACGGAAGCTAATTTTTCTAAAATTAGTAAACTACTGTGTCTGACAGTATGGATTCATTATATCTGTAGTAAAAAACACATCAATGGTAAGAAAGCACGGACTCCTAAAATGTAGAGGTGGCATCCAATTATCTAAAATTCCCCAGATTTCACTACAAGTAAAGATCGTATCATATCAGTAAGTTCATGTCATTCCTGTAAAATGAGAATATTTTAGGTAGCTGAGCTATTGATAAAGAAAAACTCATTTTTTACTGACATTCTTATAACTTGCTACCTATATTTTATCTGATAAAAGCGATGTAGGCAGTATCTAAGTAAACAGCAGTTCTAACAGCTGTGCTATCTCACTGCCATAGACACATTTGTAAAAGCACACATATTAGAAAAAAAAGTTTTCATTTGATATGGAAGCACTGAATATATTCAGAGATGTTGGTAGCAATGTATTATTTAAGGTATTATTACAGTCTCTAAACAGCCCAAAGAGCTAGTTTTCCTCCCTTTAATAATAACTACAAATGTCATGTAAAATGTTATTTTCTACTAAAGTCTTTTCATTTTTGTCTGGGCTGCAATGTTATATTCTATTTAAGATCTTACTAAATAAAATGCTCTTCTCATAACCTTAAGCATGCACTTTCTAATCTGTTTTTTTATGCTTAGGATTCAACATTCTAAATCAAGATACAAAAGTCAATAACATTTCTTTCTAGTGGTATTGTTTCTTCATAGTAATAGAGTGCTCCACAACTATTTCCAGAATAGTAAATAAATCCCAATCTTTTTCAACTACAAATACAAAGAAAATAGATTAAAAGGTTTTTTTCTGGGAAAAAAAAAATGACTTCCCCAAATGACAAGAACCGATAGGCCAGAACTACATTCAAAGCATCTATATCTGCATCTCAGTCTAGAAGTGGTTTCTAGGTTGAGTTGTGAAATGCATTAAATGGACCAAAAAGTCAATGACAAAACTACCCAGAGCACAAGCGACTCCCTTGTTTTATGCCAGCAACCTGACAGCTTTTTCCAGTGCATTCCCAAGGCACAGATGTAAACTCCCACCATTCTCCTCAATTTTTTGGTGACAAACACAGAATTGTTACTTTATTAAAGAATACTCAGGGATCAGCAACTTAATAAGTGAACTAAACATTGAATCTTGGTATTCCAATTTTATGTTCTCTTCATCTTCAAATGTCAGTCATTGCTATCCTGAGAAAAGCACCTCTGGGTTTCAAGAACGTAAATGTAGAGAGTTGACAAAGCCTCAGACTGACCTAATATCACCCCCTTTCACACATGAGTAGAGTGAGGCCGAGTATAAAATGACCACCTAAAGTCACATAACATACCAGTCACCATTTTATACCAAGCACATGTTCTTCACCAAGACCTTGCATTTCAATGGAATTTTAATTTTATCCAAGTACTAATACAGTTATCTCTCTGCATGCATAGAGAATACGATTTTGAAAAATCCTTATTTCAGGACAGTTAGCAAGTAATAAATTTAAGACTAAGGGGTAGACATAAGAGAGTCCAAGATCAGGACAATATTTACCATGAAACCATTGTAAATATTTGCTCAAGTAAGAAAAGAAAGCAGTAACACACAATAATACAAGGGAACTTAAGTATTACTTAAGTTAATAATAGGGAGTACTAAAAACCTAGTTTTTTATTTATTGCTCACCAAAAGCTTGTCTCCAGTTTCAGTGGGAGGCATGTAAGTGCATTTTGTTTTGTGCAGCATCAAATACTAAGGTGAATCTTATCCTATCTTGAGCTCCCATTCAAGTACCCAATGTCTTTCTAATTCTTTTAACTTCAAGAGCTTCTTCCTCTTGTCACCCTCCACTTAACATATTTTATGTTTTACTCTCCCATCTCCTCTGTCTTGCCTATCATTTCTTTGGAAAACAAAAACAGAACAGTACTCCTGGAGCCATCAGGTGGTGTGGAGGTTAGGGTGTTGTATCCCACATGGCTGGCTCCACGGTTTGAGTCCCCTGTTGGAGGCTTGAGGATCATGCCAAATGCATGTGGGTGCATGCCCAATATCCCAATAGGAGAATAAGAGAATGGAGAATGGAGGAGAAGGGATTGCAGCGTGGCCATTCCCCCAGGGGGATGCTTTCTCACTTTCTCTCTCTCTCACACACATACACGCACACACCCTATGTCAAAATTAAAGAAGAAAGTACTCCTTTTCTGCAATCCACTTTATCTCTTACTGAGAATTCCCAGCTCCCAGTTCCCTCTTCCTCTAATCATTCAAATGAGAAAAAAGCTCTAAATTTAGCATCTTACTCTTATAAGGAGAGGATACAGAAACAAATCTTCGTATCTTTGACCTTTTATTATGAACAAAATTACTAAAGTAAATGTGAAGTACAGTTAATTATGAGAATAATAAAATAGCATTAATCACAGACACACACACAGAATCCAAGGAGAGTGTAAGCCCTATCTTTATGTTTCCCATATAGTCATCTACTTTTCAGTTCATACAGTCTGGGTCAGTTAAGCATCTAGGCTTCCCGTCTCCCTCTGAACTCCTCTCGTCTTTCTCCTTGTGCTTTCTTTTCTCAAGTTCTCACTCTTACTTCCCAGCTGTCCCCAGAGACTCGCACTCTACTGAGGGCTAGCCAAAGGCCTAAACCATAGGATTTTTTGCTCTCACTTCCACTCTGGAAAGGAAGTTTGCTATTGGTAAACTTGATTCCTCCAGGAGCAGGCCTGCATCTTTGAGTTTCTCCAAATAATAGTCAAAGACATACCATTCTTACCGTCCCCTGCCTAATATTAATGACTTTTCATAACTTGACTTGGATGAAGCGTAAGTCCCCCTTCCTAGTAGTGATGAAAAGCAGGTAAAGCAGATCAAAGAAGATAAACATTTTGTATATCAGGAAAATGAAATTGTAAAATCTCTTTATTTGTGCCTAATTTCAATCTATTCTTACCTCCTAAAGATCTTATTGTACCTTCACCCATGTCTATTCTGCTTCTTCTGTATCTCCCTTTCTAGTAGAACATTCCAAATAGCCAAAAATCTCTGACTGACATTCCTCTCCAGGTCCTGCCCACCTTCCCACCCCCATCTCTCTGCTCTCCTCCACAGCAATATTCCTTAAAAGTTTGGTGTATATCTACAATTTCCAATTTTCTTTCCATTCTTACTTTTTTCTCTGATCATTCAAGATACTCCACATTTAAATATGTCCCATTCACTCCCCGCTATTGCAAATGTTCCTGTGAAATAGGTATCATACTGCTCGCCACCTTTTAAATGAGTATTTTTAAGGAAAGAACTTTTAAATAGGGTGCTACCAACATGTCTTAAGCTAAGGAGGACTCTGTTCCCACTGCAGATGCATAAAAAATTCTAGAAAAGTAAATAATACATTATGACTCCAAGTAAGAAGAACAATTTCCAGGTGCCTGAAACTACGAAGAAATCTGCAGAAAAAGCAGTGAGTGCCTGGGCCTGAACAACCAAGGCACCACCCAAGGCCATTCATTGGACAGGGTTCCCCATTCTAAGACCTTCCAGGCCCCTCATGCCTTTTCGTTTGTGCTTTTGTTTTCGATGAACATTATATTTTAAACTTTTTTAAGTCTATTTATGTTGGTGACTAGTGGCATTGAACAAGACTTTTGTATTCAGTGTAAAAAGATTTAGGACATGAACTAACACTAAGTAATGAATATAATTTCTCTGTGCTGTACAGAACCCCCTTCATGCTTTCTCTCTCTCTCTCTCTCTCTCTCTCTCTCTCTCTCTCTCTCTCAGTTTTTTTCTTTGGGTCACATACACTCGCCAGAGAGACAGAGGGAGACAGAGAGAGGGAAAGTTAGAAATCATCCCCCAGGGGAAATGGCCACTCTGCAATCTCTTTTTCTCCATTGTCCTCTAGGGATTTTAGGCATACATGCACTGGACCCCAGCATGATTCTCAATCCAACAGGTCTGGGACTCAAGCCAGAGCTGGCCATGTGGGAGTCCAGTGTCTTAACCATCATTCCACCCGCTGGCCCATTCCCTCATGCTTTCTTAACTCCACTTTACTCAGACTTTCATGTCCAGTATATCCTTTCAACATTTTCTCTTGGATGTCTAAACGGGCGTCTCAAAACGAACAAGCCTAAATCTGGCTCCTGATCTTCTCCCTCCCCAAAACATTTACTCACCCCACAGTCCTCCATGATTCATTCATTCATTGCAACGCCATTCTTCCAGTTGTTGTACCACCACCCAGCCCCAGGGTCATTCTTGTCTGCTCTTTCTTATAGCCCACTCCCAATATATCAGAAAACCTTTTACTGCCACCAGCCTTCCCCACCATACCTTTCACTACTTAGGTCCACAGCACAGTTCTCTTGCCTAGTTTATTGCAGTCAACTCCTAAGTGGTTTCCGTACTCTTATTCTTGCCCCTATGCCAGTCTATTCTCACAGAAGCTGGAGGGAGTCTAGTAAATCAAGAAAGATAGTATCTTTCCTCTGCTCACAAAACTCCAGTGGTAACCCCATCTGATACGGGGTAAAATTGCCAAAGTCTTCCCACGATGCTGCCAGACCTGTCCCAGGCACTTCATTGATCTCGTAGCTTCCCATACTCCTCTCTGCGCCATCTGTAGCTGCCTTTTGCTATTCCTCAAACATGCCAGTCAAATTCTTGTCTGGACAAAACTGACTGGTTATTTGCATTTGGCAAGGCTTTGGCTGAAGGGGAAATTTTCCCAAAATGGAGTATTAAATAACTTCAGAAGGCTTTCAGGCGAATTCCTGGGAGGAAGTAACTCCCCCATGTTTCCCATATCACATAGTGTGGTTAGGATATGATATGAAACAGATATTAATATAACCATAATTTCAAATGTTTTTAATGGCATCATTGGACTTTGGACCTAATCATCTTTCCCAGTTCCCCTTTCCCGTTATTCTTTAACAATTATAGATAATAACTTCTGCTTTCCCTTTTCTTCTTGCCTTTTTAAAGGCCATATAATCAGCTTAGTCTTTGGGTGGAGTTTTAAAAATGCAGAAGGTTTCAGAGACAAATATTTGCCTCTGCATGTATCCGGTACTAGACTGGTCAGTACCTAGAAGCCTCTTTTCTTTGAAAAGGATTATCACCTGATCAAGGTCTCTCTGCAGTTGCCCCTGGAGACTGTGAAATGTGGCTCAGGATCTTCACAGCTTTACTTTCCTTTGCAGCAGGTGTTTGCTCGGGGCTGAAGGTGACTGTACCATCCCACACGGTCCATGGCATCAGGGGTCAGGCCCTCTACCTCCCCGTGCACTATGGCTTCCACACTCCGGCGTCGGACATCCAGATCATATGGCTGTTTGAGAGACCCCACACAACACCCAAATACTTACTGAGCTCTGTGAATAAGTCTGTGGTTCCCGACATGGAGTATCGGCACAAGTTTACCATGATGCCACCCAATGCGTCTTTACTCATCAACCCACTGCAGTTCACTGATGAAGGCAATTACATCGTGAAGGTCAACATCCAGGGAAATGGAACTCTATCTGCTAGTCAGAAGATACAAGTCACCGTAGATGGTGAGTCCACTCGGAGTGTACTGTCCTTGAGCAGCAGGCTAGGAGGGCATTAGCAAAGACCGGGAGTTAAACTGCCAGGGCTTTATGTCCTGGCTCCGCAGCTTTGGGCAAATTAATTAATCCTCAGTATCTCATGGTACTAATGACGTTATCTACCTCGTGAGGCTTTCTGAATATTAAATAAGGCACGCATGGAAGACACATGCACAGTGCCCATCGAAAGGCAATGAGCAATAAAAATAGCTTATTACTTGTCTTCCTGGAAACTATGAGGTTGCTGCCATAATATGAGATGGAAAGAAATCTTAATTTCTTAGTAGTAGAGTGCACCCTGAAAAGAACCCCATTTTTGTCACAAGAAAAATTTTATTTAGGTACACTGGGGGAAGATGAGAATCACTCCAAAGCCATACTTAGGGGAAAATAGAAGCTCCCGGAAGTGTCCTCTGAGGGAGAGTAGGGCAAGCTAACTTGTAGACACTTGTCTTCCTTATTGAGATATGAAAGCAGTAAATCTTAAATATACTACATCCAAATCCCAACTTCTGATTTTTTCTCTCTAAAATCTGCTTATATGACACATTAGTAAATACCAATTTCCTTCTATCAGTTGCTCAGGCCAAAATCTTGCAGTTACCATTGACTCACTCTCTCTCTCTCTCTCTCTGTCTTTCTCTCTCTCATTCTCATACACCACCCACATCCAATCCACAAGAAAACCAAAAATGTAGACAGAGTCTGACCACTTCTCATCACCACACTGCTGCCCTAATCAGTGCCACCATAGCTGTGGCCAGACTATCCTAAGGCCTGCAGCCTAGTCTCCCTGCTTCTCATCTTCTGTATCTCCCTCACCCCATCCCACCTTATTCTCTTTAGGTCTCAACCCAAATATCATTTTATCTGTGAAGCCTTTCCTGACCACCCTATATAAAATATAATTTCACTCCTCCAAACACACACATACACACACACACATGCACGTGCACACATACACACACACGATTTGCTCTCTATCTGCAGTTGTGCTTTCTTTTCTTCATAGCCCTTATTACCACCTGGACATGCTATGTATTTTTACATTTCTTTATTGTTTCTGTTCCCCTGCAAGAATCTGAGATTCATCAGAGCAGGAACTTTGTATTGTTGGAAGCTTTGTCCTCAGTACTTAAAACCTGTTCTGGTCACTAGTACACTCCATAAATGTAGGTGAGTGGTTGCTGAGAAAACCGGGCAGTTAGCAGAGCGAAAACACAGGCCGTGAAAGCAGATGCCTAGAGATCACCTTTAGGGAAAGTAAAGAGCTATCGAAAGGGAAGTTTTCCTCTGCAGAGTCCTGTCTGCCTGCTGCCCCCCATCTCCAGAATTTTCACAGAAGATCCCCTACTTGTTACTGTGTAGTAAAGCTGGATTTGCTCAGAGAAATGCTACAGCCAGAAATTTACCAAAGTCTTGACAGGGTTTTAGGACCAGAACCAAAATCCTTCTTGGAAAGAAATTGTCCACATCTGAGTTACACTGTTTTGGGCAAGTGTGAGATCACCATACCAGCGACTGTTCCCCACACAAGACCATGAACAGGTTTACCTACTTATCCCACAATACATGCAGTTCCACACACATTTAAAATATAGGCGTTACCTGCAAAGTATACTCAACTCATTTCTTTTTCTCTTTAACTCACAGTAATGTAAACAAAATACTACTCCAAACCCTTTATTCATGTCAGGGAAAAATAAAAGATCAAATTAAACAGGAAAACCAGTTGATTACACCCACCTCGAGAAATGCTAGAGGTTCTGAAAGTGACAAGTTGCATTTCAACTTCCTTTGTCCTCATCTTTCATTTCCTTCTAGCACCTCTGGGCTGGGGAATTGACTCTATATGTGCCCTAAAGCACATTTTTCAGTGTAGGATAATGTAAGCATGAGTCCAGGTAAATTTTCCTGAAGAAGATGCATCAACACCAATTAAAAGCTTGCTAATAAATTGAAGTCTAGGGACCAGCAGATGGTGTAATTGTTACATCACTAGACTCTCATGTAGTCAACCGCAGATCAAATCCTGGACCCAGTGACTTGAAACTCATGCCAGGCATGTGTACATGTGTACCCAAAATCCCTAGAGGAGAATGAAGAAAAAGGGATTGCAGCATAGCCATCGCCATCCCTGGGGGGGCGGGGGAGGGAGGCGGTGATTTCTCGTTTTCTGTCTCTCTATCTCTGTCTCTCTAGTGAGCACACATGCCCAATAACAACAACAAAAAAACTCTCAAAAATAAACAAATAAATCGAAGTCTAGTTATTGGAGTTAATTGTCACATATATTTCATCATATTCTCTCTATGTTCTGTAATCATACATAGCAGCAGATTGTTAAATGCATATCTCTCCAAAGTGCAGAGAAAAAATAGTACCAGATTTAAAATCCTTTCATTTTGCCATGGATCACTGTGTAACTCTGGATAAGTCACTGTTTTTATCAGAGACTCGAGAAACTCAAAGGTTAACAAAGATTGCCTAAAATGGTTGTAGATGTCTTTATGCATCAATTTGAGAGTTAAAATTCAAATAGAAAATTTTTATTCATTTTTGGAAATTTATTTATTGAGAAATACTGTTAAGTATCAGTTACTGCCACACTATAAAACTATTTTCCCAAGACTTGACTTTCCAACAGGAATTTCTATTTGGTTTGTCTTTTATCTCTATATTTGATATAATTCCAATAATACATTTTATTGCATTTTCATTTTGAGTCAATGTTGAAATGTAAGCTTTGATTTGTTAAAATGACTAACAAAGTTACATCACAAAAAAAAGCAATTAAACAAATTAGTTCGCTTACATGATGAGAAAATGAAGTAGTGCATATGTGATTCTCTAGAATTTTCCATCAATTCCCCAAAAGTATACTATATATGAGCTACATATTTTGCAGATGGCAGATAGACATTTCAATTTACCACATCCACCTTAACCAGTTGCTTTTGGGACATTAGGATGAGCTGTAGGAGAGAAATACCCATATACATTTTGCCTGAGATTATACTTCTATGGTGTTGGAGAAAACACAAAACAGGAAACAAGGAAACTGGCATTCTTGACCACTAACTATGTTACTCCTAAAGTAGAAGGATTTCATTAGACAGTCCTTAAAGAGTGAGTTCTAGAATATTCTTATCTCTGGCTCTAAATAATATTTTTATCTTTTATCATTTGTGTTTTCCATTACTTTTTATTCTCCTTAACTGTTTCCTAGCTGTCTACATTACAGTATAAAAACATTGACATTATCGCTTGAGAGTTCAATATTCAAATGATGTCATACAGTTTTATTATAATTCATGGGTGGAAAAAATGTTTTATTCTCTCTTGATATTGCAGATCCTGTCATAAAGCCACTGGTGCAGACCCGTCCTGCCTCTGGGGCTATAGAACATGTGGGAAACATGACGCTGATGTGCCAGGTGGAAGGGGGCACCCGCCTGGTGTACCAGTGGCTGAAAAATGGGAGACCTGTCTACACTAGCTCCACATACTCCTTTTCTCCCCAAAACAACACTCTTCATATTGCTCCAGTGACCAAGGAAGACATTGGGAATTACAGCTGCCTGGTGAAAAACCCCATCAGTGAGATGGAAAGTGATATCATTATGCCTACCATATTTTGTAAGTTTTATAAAAAATATATTCGTGATTTGTTCTCTGTGACGTTCACCCAAGGGTAGTAATAGAGATGATCAGCATCAGATGTCCTTTGGTATTTACCACTAGTGCAGTTCAGCACAGTCCTACTTCTTAAAGATCAACTTGAAAGACTGGTCACGGAACATTCAGGGTAGTCTGTAATTCACTCCATTGTGTGACCTCCTTTCCAGCGGAAAGAGGGAATGAATCCCAAGAGCCCAGAACCATGAGGAGGCACTAAGTTACTTATTCCCAGGGAGGAAGAGTTGGTGATCGTAAACCAGGAGACGGATGTGCTCTGTAGTTGATCTCAGAGTAAAAGAATGTTCCCAGGCTATGCATAGGTAGTGCATCCCAGTGCATGGCTGCTTTATTTGCCCTTATTTCTAGGCAATCAATTTTGAAAAGGAGGTGCAGGGAGGATCATAGATACAACACAGATTTTAATTGCTGGAGGGCACATGTGCTCACCAGAGAGAGAACACCAAAGATATAGAATTAAAGAGAGAGAGAGCATTGGAAAGACAGACAGAGAGAGAGAGCACTCCCCAGTGGTGCATGATCATACCACAGTTCTTTCTCTTCAGAATTTGGGCACCCATACACATGCACCTAATGTATTTCCAAGCTGCTGGGGTGTAAATGAACTGCAGTCATCCATGTGAGAGCTGACTTTATATACACAGCATTTAACCCTGTGCTATGAAGCCAACCCCAAGAGAAAACTTAATTATTCTTCAGTAAAGGACTCAGGTTCCCAAGAATTGGTAATTATTTCTGGGTTTTAATTTTCTTGGGTGCTTTTCTCTATCATAATTGTTGTTGCTGAACCTTGTATACAGAGCTTAGTTTATTAAACTCTTTAGCTCATGTCATGTTATCTTCACCAACCCAAGCAAGTTCTCTGTCTTTGTTGCATTATTTTCCAAGTCCCTAAAGTACTACCTAAAGTACTACCTCTAATACACTTAGTATTGTATTCCAATTTAAGCTTGGCACAGTTTCTCAGCCTCTCTACTATGACAGGCATGGTGTGTAACCTCTGTTGTGGGGACTTTCCTGTGCATTGTCAGCAACATTTCTAGTCTCCCATTACATATCAGTAACATCCCCCCCCTTCAGCTGTGACAACTAGAAATGTCTCTGGACAATTCAGTATATCCCCTCACATTAGGAAGTCTTGTTATCAGTTACCAGGTTGCTTTCATGGTAACTTTATTTTCACTCTTGGGAATTAAAAGTTACTTTAGGAAGTCTTCTGTTTCAGACCATGGGGACAGAGCACAGTTACAATAGCATCTTGACAGGAAAATAGAGGCAGGGTGAAGGAAATCTCACCCTTCGTGGCATGAGGGTAGAAGTCTCAGCTGGTTGAATCATAGAGAGAAATTAATCCTAGCAGATGTGTCCACTCATTCATCAGATCTATCTTCATAATACCAGAAGTGGCACTAAATGCCCGTGTTTAGGTGCTTAGATGGATTGAAGTGAGAAGCATGGTTCAGTCATTACCTGTTAGACCTTAAGTAAATTTCTGGATCTTTCTGGGTCTCCAGGTACTGTCTGAAAAAAATAGCCAGTGATTGACACAAAGCAAGCATTCAGTCAAAGGAGGCTGTTTTTATTATCAATATATCTACACTCTATTTTCCTTGATAGGAAACTGATAACATTCTCTTGGGACATGTATTATTAACTCTGGAAAAAAAAGCACCAGCATATGTACAAAGTATAGCCTCTCTTGACAATATAAGGCTTAAGTTTAAGGATCGTGCACCAACAATAAGGCAGGAAAGGGCATGGCTGGGGAGCAGGAACGGATGGAGCAACACAGGTATATATGGAGTTTTCAATTGAACCACTGAAATTATGCAATAGAAAATAGAACTGTTGAATCTTGAAACAGAACATTATCCTATATTTTAGCAAAAGAGAGAAAATGTGCACAATAAAATGTATTAAACAGAATGTCATAGGTACCATAGAACGTATAGTATCCAGGAACAGAAACTAAGGAGCCAGAAGAGCTGGGTTCAAATCCTAGGTCTGCTACCTTACCTCTCTGTGCCTCAGTTTATTCATCCGTATAATGATAATAATGGCAGTATCCACTTTCTAGAGTTTCTATAAGTGTTAAATCTACTTAATACATAAAATGATTAACAGCAACTGACCCATACTATATAACTGTTAGCCATTATTATCACTAAAATATTATTAATCTATGGGAATCCAGAGAATGAAAACATTATTCCTAAGCAAGAGAAGGCTTCCTGAAGAAAGTGACATTTCAGATACACTCTGAACAATGGGTATGATTGGGGCAAAAGACAACCTCTGGGAAAACCATCTCAGACAATGAGACAGAAATGAACCACATACAAAGCAGAAATAAAATAATTTGACGAATGGTCCAGTTTGGCTAAAGTATAGGGTATAGGGAGGAGAGTAGTAAATTAAATGGTCAGATAAATAAAACTGAGTCAGATTATGGGAGCTTTGAGTGAAGAGACTATTAGCAAACAATAAGGAAGGAAAAGGTTTTTGTTGGCTTTTTTAAGATTTTTATTTGCCATAGGGTGCTTGCACTTGCCAGAGAGAAAGAGAGAGACAGAAACAGAAAGAAAAGTGAGAAATCACCTCCCTCCCCAGGGAGGATGGCCACAATACAACCTCTTCTCCTTCATTTCCATTCTCTTCTCAGGTTTTGGGCACACATGCACCCATGCCAGGCATGATTTTTCAAGCCGCTGGATCCAGGACTTGAACCACAATCAGAACCACAATCAGCCATGTGGGAGTTCAGAGTCTTTTTTTTTTTTAAGAATTATTTATTTAATTTTTATTACTATTTAATTTTAATTTATTATTTAACTATTTAATTATTAACTAATTATTATTTAACTATTATTATTTTATTACTATTATTATTATTTATCATTATTATTCAGTTTGACCAGAGAAAGAGTGAAAAAATGAGCTGCTAGGTCCAGGACTCAAACCATGGTTGACCATGCAACCTGCTGGCCCCAAGGGAGCCCAGTGTCTTAACTACCACTCCAACTGCTGCCCCAGGAAAAGCTTTTTTAAACAGGTGTCCATACAAAAAAAAAGATTGGAGAATGATGTATAAATAAATAATTTCATATAGATATACCAGGCTAATTAAGAAATGTTGGTCAAGAGCACATGTTGTTAAGACAAATTGCAAACTTGATACAATTATGTAAAGGGTATATGTAAGAAAAGAATAAAGAGGCAAACGATTATTTTTTTAGCCTACTATATAAAGAGAAAAAGTCACCAATTTTAAATTATATACAGTGACTAAATATATCTACTAGCAATTTGAAACCATTTTATCTAAAAAGTACTGTTTACAATAAATCTGTTTTTAACTTCATATATTGATTTTGTAATTCAATTTTGGTGTAGGAGAACCAAAGAATACTAACTGTTACTCCAACTTAGTTCTAAATTCAATATGCACAATAAAATGTATTAAATTTCTTCACTCAGAAATAGAAGGAATTATATTAAAGAGTGTCACAGGACGAAATTACTTTTTCACTGAGAAACCAAAACACCATATGCTGCAAGCAAATTATGTAATATTCATGATAATCATTAGTTACATTGTTAAACAATGGCATTATTTTTATAGCTGCGCTCTAAGATATTTGTATGTGTGTGTGTGTGTGTGTGTGTGTGTGTGTGTGTGTGTGTATTATATATAAGGTTTTTGCCATAGAGTAAGTGTGCTCACTGGAAAGAGAGTGAGACAGCAAGAAGCAAAGTGAAGAATCACCCCCCAGAGGGGAAGGCTGTGCTGCAATCCCTCCTCCACTCTCCTCCCAGGATTTGTTGGCATGTGGGAATCCACTGTGTGACCTATTGGCCCCACTTTTAGCTATATTTTTTACAGCAATATTACATGATCTTATATTCAGGTCACATTGTGAAAATAATCTTGTTAGCCTAAAGCATAGGAGGAGAAATAGATTCATAAACATAAAGTCCTGACTGTACTGCATGACTAGCACTGAACTGGAGTGACAATTTCAGATTTGGTAGTCTTTGTATATTGTATAAGTTGTCTTGACTAAATAAGGTTATTTTTCTTTTTCTTTTTCTTTTGTTTTGTTTTAATTTGCCAGAAGGCAAGTGCACTCACCAGACAGAGAGAGAGATTGAGAGAGAGGGAGAAAGTAAGAAATCATCCCCCAGTGGGGCATGGTCACACTACAATCCCTTCTCCTCCATTTCTCCTTCTTTTTGGGGTTTCAGGCATGCACGCTCATGCACCCATGTGTTTCTAAAGCTGCTGGGTCTGGGATTCCAACCATGTGAAACCTAGCTGCCTTAACCATCATGCCTCTGCTGGCCCAAAACAAGGTTATATTGACATGAACTTAAACTTCCATCCAATTTCATCCAAGTAGTCACAGACTTAAGTGTAAGAGTAACTGAAACATGGTGAAAAGAAAATGCAAACAGAGTGAGTCAAATCTAGGACTATGTGGACATATCCTTATGTTATTCTTTATTATTTGGTCTAATGGTTACAGTCACTTAGAAAATATACAAAATAAATGCAAAACAAGCTATCAGCCCTGTCAGATATCATCTACTTAACAGTAATCCCAAACAACCATCTTTCAACGTAGTAGAAGACAACAAGAAATGAAACTGTTAGAACCTTCTCTGTTGCTCAAGGAAAGTCCACTGGTGATTTTGATAGTTAATATCATGTCTGTGTTGGAGTGCAAGGAATAGCACAAGGCTATGCACCTAAACTGTGCATTTGAACTGTCTGGGTAAAAGCCCCAGGTCTACCATTGCAGTATCTGTAAGTGAATTCCCCTTTCTTCCTATTAGTCTCCTTATCTGCTGATCTACGATGTCCCCAGTGTAGTGTTAACATCTATTTGGAGAGGGAAGGAGAGAGTTGAAGATTTTATGTATGAAGAATCAGTATGGCA